CTTGGCACTCGTACAGCCATTTACGCCTCTGACCTCAATACTATTTTTGCAAACCAACTCAACCTTCAAGTCTATAAACAGCCCCCATGGATTACCGAAAATCCTCTCATATACTTCAATCTTACTTCATACAAAAAAAAAAAGAAACCGGCTCCAACATTTACAAATCAAACTTCTTATATCTAAAAACCAGCCTTCCACCACATCGCGAAATTTATGTAGATACATCCAAAAACATAGAAGGAACTGCAATCACATTAATTCAGCTAAACTCTCAAACAGAACTTCAGATCCTAGCTYACAACTACATTTACACAGCAGAATATCTAGMTCTTTTAAAAGCCACATAATTAACCACCACCTCAGATAGTCAATGTACAATCATATACACTGACTCTCTCAGTGCTCTCAAAAACTTAGTAAATCCCAAAACAGATAACCCTATTTGCACCCAAATATTGAAAATTTTATTCATAACCAAAAAAGACATTAGATACATATGGGTACCTGGACACAACAGTATACCAGGTAATTAAATCGCAGAAGAAATAGCCAAAAGAGCAATAAAGAACAAACCAAATTCTGGAATATCATAACCAATTTTGACACAAAACATCAATAAACACTAACCTCATTCAAACATGTTTTCGAGAATGGAGATTAATAAAAAATTAAGAGAAATTAAATCCTCCAACTTCCCTTGAATGCACGATATGCCACTCCCACGCAGACATCAAATCATCATCGACAGACTACGAATTGGCCACACATTATACATGATGAGTATTTTAATGAATAACAAAGAACAACGGATATGTACTTCTAGCAACATCACGATCATTGTAAAACATCTTTTAACTGAATGCCTCCTCACAAAAGACGACAAACACAAAATGGTGCTCCCCAACAATCTGTGTGAAATACTTGCACCAAATGAAGAGAGAACATCATCATTATTYGAATTTCTCAGAGACCAACCTTCTGCATAAAATATAATAGCATTAGCAAAACTAAGAATATCACACAAAATTTAAACTTATTTCTCTTAAAACTTATTGTATCWATATTTCACCTATTTATTATTTATTATTTTGTAAAGATTAAGTTAACTATAATATGTATTTTGAGACGCCAATAACATCGGTAGTTGAGGTGCATTTATTAAATATTTATATAAATATTTTATTTAAAAAAAAAAAAACTAGATTAATGAGGATTCGTAATAAGTAATAACTGATACGTATAACTTCATTGTAAAGTGTTGTTGGGATCTTTTAAATTGTATTATAATGTATATAAGTATATAATAGTTTTTATGACTTTAGTAGTCTAACTTCAGAGAATAGATATTATAATACTTCACATTTCATAATACATAACATAGGTTGTTACGCCGGGTATAAACTGTGACGAATAATATGTTTGTTCGAAATGTATCCTATATACATATTAGGTAATGTAACGATTCTCAAACTGGGAATGTAATATGTATACGTACATTTTAGTTTYTCTAAATATTTTCAATATAATTGATATCGTCATTTTTTTAAATGTTTTTGGTCAGTAAGAACTAAAATATAATATAACAATTATTAGTGAAATTAAATTGTTGAACCATTATGTTCGTACACTGTTTTTTAGATACCTAAAATACTAAATTACTGTTATAATTCGCTAATAAAATTCTTAAGGTGATCCATTGTCGTTAAAGCTTTTATAAAGTAGCTTTTTTAGAACTAGCCAAGTAGATAGATATTATTATAAAAATTACATGTTTACTTTTAGTATGATTCTACTTGTAGAACAATGGACGCAACTTATTTTTTTGAGATTTTGGATGACAAGGAACGATAACTGACAAAGGAATATATTTTAATAATTTTATTTTGGGTTAAAAAGTGTGATGAATTTTTAAAACTTTTAAAAGCACTTCTARGACTACAAAACAAAATGTACGTATTTATTTGCATTCGATGATGTTTTTCCATTTGACGATACTTTTTGACTTTTCAAAGTAAAATTCAATAAATATAAAATACAATATATTAATGTGGTTAAGAAGTAGGTATTTTATTARTTATTTGTATTATTCTGTTTGACAAAAATTGTATTTTTACTCCAAGTATATGTACGGTATAGGCTTATACGAATAAATAATTATAGTATAATCTTTACTTATAACAAACTAATAATTTTAGGTGAAGGTGTTATATGAATATATTATTTACAATTAGGTATATACTGAATATTTTCGAAGAAATAAGACAGTAATTAGTCTTGGTTTCTGTAAATTTTTTTAACAGTGAAAAAAGTAAAGATTTTTGATTTATAATTTATTTGTTCAATATTCAATATTAAAATTTTATACTTTAAGTTAAACAATATTAATTTATAATAACTACATTACATTACATTTTACAGTTGAATTTATAAAAAAATACATTTTACATATTATTTATACAATAGTATATAAGTAGTATATGTATTACATATTAACACAGGTTTAAACTGTTAAAATTGCTCAAAATAATTTAACTAAATATCAAACACAAAAATTGCATGACTTTTTCGGAAATATTTTATGATTTCTTTAGTMAATTTAAAGATTAAAATGATAAAAGTTAACAAATAACACATACTATTAAAACGTTTRAACTACTGTTGTCAAAAATATAAAAAACATTTATTTTTTAAAAACTTTTTGTACTACAATATTGCATTATATTGTTGACCTTTTTTTTGTACTTACACGATTGTTTGATTCTATTTAAAATCTTTTATTTTTCCAAGACTTGTGAATTGCAAACATATTTATATATTTTTTATACAATAACACATTTTCTAATCATATAAATATGTATTACCATCAATGTTAAAAATATTTAGGCACGAAAATAACAAATTTTGAAATTCTGCTATGTATTATCTTATTTTTTTTTTTTTAAATTCCAAAATTTAGAATTATGTTTAGTTTTTCAATTCTTGTTTTGTATATATCATTTAAAATCTTGTCACTAATACATAATATATTTTAGTAAAAATCAATTTCTCAACCAAAAGCGTTTAATAAAAAATAAAAATAAATAAATAGCTAAAAAATGGCAAAAACCAGGCAATATTACCAATATATATAAGGTTAGGTTAGGTAACATATAATTATACATACAATATAAAATTACATCGAAGCAGTATTAAAAGTTCCATCAATTATTTGCACGATTTGTTCTCATTCTAAACACAAAATATATCTTAAAATTCAAAGAAAACTTTTACCAGATTCTTGTCTGACAAATTCACTATACCAAAGATTACCCAATAGATCGTTAACAATACCTTATTTTTTTCTGGTGAAAATCGCTACAAGGGGGCCGTACTGTTTATACATTGCTGCACGCTTAGTGCCGCAGGCCGTAGAGCCAAGCCTGTAAGGGCCCAGCTTCAGTCCAGCTGCGATCGCAGGCGACACATTTGTCGGAGGGGCATTCCTTCTCCTCGTGGGTCTTGTCCCCAYATTTGCGGCAGGAGTTGCTCATGTCARAGCCAGAGCATCTGCCCTGAGAGTGCCCAAAGTCATGGCACTTGTAGCAACTCGTGGCTTCAGGGTAGCGGATCCTGAACCGATAGCTCGTTCAGCCAACCCTGACACGGCTGACCTCCGAGAGTTTCGCCGATCAGAAAATCAGTAGCTTATTACCAAAAATAGCTTATTTGAATAATCTTAAATTCTCCCATTATAATAACCAGCGTAGTTATAAGTGGTACTTGCATAAAATATTAAACTCTACACGAACCAAAATAAATGAATAGAATAATTCAAACTAAAAAATTCAGGGGCTTAGTGGAAATTTTAAATTTTGAAGAAAGTGGAGTTATTTCATTGGAAATTGGGGTTATTGCTCATATAATGAAATTCTAGCACATTCCATTATAAATAAGATACGCACACACACACACACACACACACACACACACAAAAACACTTGGTTTCGAAAATTGGAAGGTGTGAACTGTGAGTAGGTACTTGAAAAAAATTTATAAATAATCTAAGTTCTTAAATACGAAATAATATTTTAAAATATTTATTATTTGTTTAGAATTTGACAACATTTTAAATTTAAAAATAGAGATTTTATATTTTTTATATTTAAATTTTAATACAACCAAGTCGTTTATTTAGTATATTACTATTTATTTATTTATGTGTATATATTTTAATATTGTGCTTTTAAATTAAATTTTAAATATAATACAATATTTAAAAATAACTAACAATACTATAAGGAAATTCAAAAAGTAGGTTCACATAGACAGAAGAAATAATAAGCCCCATTGGTTAGTAGGATAGATAGGATAGGATAGGATAGTAGTTGATAGTGCAAGTTTAAATGCAAATGTAGTTTGTAATTTGGTGTGTCTTTGAAGAAATTAAAAATTCAATAGAGATAAAAGGTAAGGATAACTGACTACCACTTAATAATCTATGAAGGAATTTAAATTCTAACGTTTCCCTGCAATCAACTAGGTAGTTTCAGTCAAGAAGATCCCCAATTGGTGTATATCCATAACCTAGAAGCTGACCTCATTACAAAACCAAGTGCATACTTTAAAAGCTTGACAACAAATCATTTGAATTTGAGGCCATGGGTATAACAAAACATTAAATTTGAAACCTTGCTAGATCGATTACACAATTAATATGTGAAATATTGTATTTAACTGAATGATAAGTGTTTAATATTACATAACACTCCTCTGTTGATCTTATGTATTATAAACATAAATTAAGTACTTAAACGCATTATTTATTATATTTTAAATTTATTTCCAATTCCTAAAAACTTAAATATCGTAGCATAAATGAGTATCAGCTTTTACAAATATAATATTTAGTAATATAATTTTTTTTTTTTAAATCCTGATAATATTGTTATAATCGATTATCTCTACGATTATCCCTATAATATTTGTACTATATATATAAATATATATATATTTTTTAGGGATCCTCGTCAACAAGGAATGTCGTTTGGGTTCATAATGGAATTCCTATATATAATATTCAAAATAACAAGAAAGATGATCCAGGTCCAATAATGGTAACTACGGAAGTTATACAACCTGACAATACCATTCAGAGTAGGTTATTTATCCGAGGGGCATCTCCATCAGCTTTGGGAAATTACACATGCACAGCGCCATACACTGAACCTGACACTGTCAATGTTTACGTGAGTGAAGGTAAGATATTTCAAAACAAAAAAAAAATGGTTTTTTAGTTACGTATACGTATATTATACAAAAATAAGTAATATTCATAATAGCATAATATTGTATCATATTGATCAGAAATCAGAATTAACAGAAATCCGTGGTTTTCATTAGTACAAAATGTTTAAACAAAATATAAGGTAAAACATTTTGAATACAAATTGTATCTTTCTAAACTTTATTGAGTATATTTATACTTTAAATTTATACCATATACATTGAGATTACTATGTCTAGTATTTTTCCATTTTATCTTAAACACATTTATACGATTTCACTAATATTACGATTAGAGCAGTTAWTATAGTTATTAACGAAGTGTAGCACTTTCACTGGATTAGTTTACTGTGACTGTTTATCTAAAAGCTATACTACAAATAAAATATTTAAACTTCAAGGATAAAAAATGATAAAAAAAAACCAGTTATATCATATTATATACTTGTATATCCAACAAAAACACTACGTCAACTCCGTGTAAAAAAACGCTAGGTAAGTAAAAAAAAAATAAATAAATAAATGCTATAAAAATAAAATGTGYGATTTAAGTTGGAATCTAAGTAAATGGTCTAATGAATAAAATATATGTATGTATAATTAATTAAAATTTAATAAAAATTGGTTATTTATATAAATTTATAATATGAATTATTTTAACTCAAATTGATCCAATTTTAGTCTACTTGGCCGGAAGATTCAGTCTAAAAAATGTATAGCCAAGTAGGTACTAAGTTTATGTAATAAATAATGGAAGCACCATTAAAATAAATAAATTGTTTCCAGCCTAGCACACTAAAATTGGATCAATTTGAGTTAAAATAATTCATATTATAAATTTATATAAATAACCAATTTTTATTAAATTTGAATTAATTACTTACCTATACATACATTTTATTCATTAGACCATTTACTTAGATTCCAACTTAAATCACACATTTTATAGCATTTATTTATTTATTTATTTATTTACTTAGCGTTTTTTTACACAGAGTTGACGTAGTGTTTTTGTTGGGATATCATTAATTTTTAGTAGGGTCAAGATTTTTTTTTTTATTTTTTTTTCATTATTATGATGTAAACATCTTTTGCACCACGAGGCCATCGTTAAAATTGTACGAAATTGTATCTATTTTTAGCCACGTGGACTTGGAGCACTATTATTAATTAATATAATATAATAATAATAATAATAATAATAATAATAATAAAATGCTCAATGACGGATAATCAAGACGGCCGATTGGCGACTATAAAATATTATAATGTTTCTGATACCACGTGCATTGAATAATGTAGAAAAAGACAACAAGCTCGAACGCCGAATGCGAGACGAAAAAACGAAAACCGGTTAATATAAAACGGAATGCACCTATATATATTAAAGAATGGATAGGCCATTTATGCTTATCATACGAGATTGAACATGAAAATATAAAGGACTTATACAAATGTATAATAGGGTGGCCAGATTTAATCTTTAGAAATCCGGAACACCAAAATTCATAAAAAATAGGTAATTATCTAGTAAGTATATAATTACATAGGTATTTGTATATAACTTTTAGGTATAAATAATATTCAAATTAATCAATTAGATAGGCCATCTTTATTTAATTAATACTCAAAATTCAAATAAAAATAATACAATTTCCAGTCGTTTAGATAAATATACTAATCTAGGTAGAATTCACTGATTTATTATTTTTCTTTATTTTTGTCGTCCAAGGAGACCTTATATTTATCAGTGCTGTGTATTTTCTACAGAAATGTAGGATTTTTTATTATTTCATTGTAAAATTCAATGCAACTCAAGCCATATGTTTTTGTTATCAGACAACATTTTATTGTTTTAGTATCCATTTGATTTTGAACGTCAGTCCAAGTAGTTGTCATTAAAGAAAATACTCGCTCTATTGACGCGTTTGACCCAGGTAAACAAAATGCAAACTCTACAACCATTGTAAGATTTGATACATTTATATMTTTTTCTTTAAATATATTAAATATTTGTACCTATTTTTGTTCTACTGAAATAACATTTTTTGTCCAGTCATCAAATTTGTCTTAAAAAATGTTTRTAAAAGCCATAAACTCATCAAAGTATTCATCTTCATTAACCTTAACATATTTTGATATCATCTTTATTGTATTTTCAGCATTATTCCATGTTACTGTATTTTTGTTTGTTAAGTGCAACCAATTTAATTCAACCATCAGTGCCTGGTTAGGTAATGTCCACTTTTGAATATATGATATACATAAATCGTAACACTTTTGACAATTTTTATCAAATTCTTTTTTAAAAATAGTTTAGTTGTTTTGACTAAATGTACCTAACTATAATACAGTTCCGTAATCAAAAGTTTGTTTACATTGCATTGTACCCAATTATGGTTTAAGTAATTATAGAACCGAAATTAAATACTAGGATTAAAAAATATAAAGGATAAAATGAATTTATATACCACATTCATACTGATCCAAAAAATGTCTAAGTCAAAGAAAAATAAGGCAAAGAAACATTAACTGTAAAAACTAAGTAAATATTAAATTGTTCAAAAGTTTTCAAGTTATGACTTTAAGTGAAGAACTTGTTTACGCCTCAAGTGGTAAATAAACTTATATCTGTGGTACTTAGAGGTTTATATTTTTTTTTCGCGTAAAAAGACATATATAAAATTATTTTATACTGCCAATTTTTGTTTCTATTAGTTTCACACATTTCTATTGTTATGAAAATCGCTGTATTAAATTAAACCAATGAAGTTTTATAGGTTTTGCTAACAACAACTCTTATATTATTTAGTTTGATATTTTTTTTAAGTATGTAGCTTTTATGTACATTTCAAAATATATAGTACTATTTACACGATTAAGTTATAAAATAAATATTGGCCAAGAGATTTTCTTAATAAATATAGTTTATATGTGAATTTATACATATACTAGCTGCTCCCGTGCACTTCGTTGCCCGTTAAATGTACTAAATCTATATTACTCAAACTTTGTTCAATTCGTTATTTAATAATCGGTGTATGGTGTTCAAAACTTATCTTAAGTTTTCCGTTACCCGGAATAAAAATTCTGATTCACAGAAGTATGATATTATCAAGTAGGTAATCTACCTGCGGTAGATCGCAGACCTCATGCTGTTTGTACAAAAGTGTATGTTTTAACTATAAAATATTAAAGTTAAACGAAGTTTGTCATTTTTACTTAATTCTACTAACGGTAGATTAATATAACCAATTAATACAAAATCCTTGACTATGCTACCAGTATATTTTTATAAATATAAATAGATAGCTTAATTACTCGACGTTGTCCGTCGAAAAAATAGTGATTTATAGTGTAAGTGATAGCCACTTATTTTCGTCAAATTTTTCATTTCGATAATGCTAATATGCATGAGCTGATGAAAAACTCTCTCTATCTGATGCATATTAAAATTTAGCTAACGTATGCACATTAAAATAAAAAAATACAACAAAAGAAAGCGGCGAATACAACATAGTATCTAAATTTAAATAGGCTGACAACTAATAAAACTTATACCTCACGTTTTATACTGAACTTAAAAAAAAAAATACGTTTTTTGAAAAGTAATTTTTATTATTTTGGAAAAAATGCTACATAACTACCGATTAACCAATATKTCTTTATAAACAATATTATTAGTATCTTCATCAGTATTTCGACTTATGTATAAGTTTTTTCTGAGCTTACACGAGAGCAGGCAACATAAAATTCTCCATGAGTGAAGTAGGGATTGCCGATGTCAATATTCCTGCAACTTTCATTGTCTGTCCTTGTGCCTTATTAATTGACATAGCAAAACAAAGTTTAAAAAGGAATTGGACACGTTYAAATTCGAAGGGATACTCGTTTGTTTTCATTGGTATTCTTGGGATACATACATCTTGACTACTCGCTGAGCCGGTAAGAATTTCAGCTTCAAAAAGGTTTTTTTTCAAAGATAATATTTTTAATATCGTTCCATTGCACAATTTGGGAGCATTTAAATTTCACTTGAGATAACAGRCGCACCAATTTTTAAATCAAGTTTGTGTGGGGAGAGACCTGATGGATTTAATGAGTTAAGGRCCAGTTGTACCATCTCMGATTAAAGTTAACCGGAGTTTAATCTGCCGAATTTGTCAGGTTAAATATCAGTTATCAGCTGATTAAGCATAATCGAAGTTTAACCGTAGACAGTACAACTGGCCCTTAGAAATTCAGTCGGGATATCTATAGCTTCATCTTGATAAGTAAGTGTATCTATGGAAATATAGTGTTTTTTTTTATCAGCTTCGAACATGAAAAGAACTTTTTCGTTTATGATGTTTAAATATTTTAAATTAATCAGATTATAATATAGTATACGTAGTTTGGCATATTTTAAATATAAAATTAAACTTTTTCTATTTCATTAAAACAAATAAATACATGTTTATGTAGTATGTACATAAATATTTAAATATTTATATTTTATATTTTAAATTCTCTGATCGATCGACGGTACATATAAGTACCATCACTTTTAAAATATATTTAAAATCAATATGAAACAATTTGTACGTTATTTCCCGTTGGTACTCTACAGTACCACTATAYCAATCGAAGAAAAAAATAAGTAAGAAATAATTCTGCTTATAAAAAAAAGATATTTGGTAGAAACAATTTGAAAATTCATATTTTTTTATGGTTGTCTACAAAGGGTTAAAACGATATATTTACAATTTATACCTAAAGCACAATAAGCAAATTGGATAATAATAGTAATAAAAAGATGAATTGATTGGTTTGTGGGGGGAGGGCTGTCCATCGACTCCAGTTTAATTTGGTGGGTTCAAAAATAATAGACTATTTATTATTTTTTTTATTTTTAATCTCCTTGGATGTTTTCTAGATATGGTTATAGAAGACATATGAAATATAAGAGGGTTTTGATTTGAATGGAATTTTTT